CACGTCATTGTTTCCTTGAGGTAAAATCTAGGTGAAGTCTCTAATGACTGAAATAAACATTTCTTAATCATATTCACATTCAGTCCACCTGAAAATCAGAGTTGACATAAATGAAGAACTGTTAAAGGAAAGCTTTGTGTTTACACCTGGAAGCTTTCTCTCTCCGGTTCCTGGAAAGAGATCGATCGGGACAAACTCTTTAAATAACAATTCATTAGTTATATGTCTTGCATAACCATGAGAAATCACAACTGATTTTCATAGAAATTGTAACCTTATTCAGATCAGAGAAGTTGCCTAGGATTACAGAAGGCAGCTGCTTACCAACCTGGGCTCACTTCTTGTGAAGCGGCCCCAGTTAGAGAAGCATTTTATACGTCTCCAATCTGCCACATCATCACATCATTACGTCATCATACATGGTTGCAGGTGAGGAGACATCCATGGCTCCAGCCTTATCAAAATATTACAATTTGTTCTTAGTTGAAGGACACCACTCTCATTCCATTCCCAAATCTTTGCCACAACAGAAGGAAGATTATAACTGTATATCTTGAGAGACGAACTGTCCTAATTAGATAAACTACTGGGGAAAACATTAGTTCTGACACGCAACAGACAGGAAATATTATTGTGTAATAAACTCACACATCATCAATGATAATTATCCTAATAAAACCACGTAGTAAAAGAGAAAAGTATTATTTTCTAAATCAAGCATTTAAAAAAAGCAAATACTCTGAAAATTAGATACAAATTTGAGATTTACTGTATTTAATATACATAGTCATAAACTTAAGTAGAGATTTCTTTTTTTCTAAATAATCTGACCATGCATATCTCTCTTTTCAATGGATCCAATATGGTTATATTACTTTCTCATGTGAACTTTTGTTCATCATCTTTCTATCCTTCCTATTCAGGCCTCCATAAATAAACGAATCCATATTCAGATTTTTTGACTCCTCTACTGAAACTCAACAGGTTTTCTCAGCTCTTAGCACCAACCATCTGGCTGCAATTAGCCAAAGAGGAAACGCACGTTAAAATCCATCACTGTGAGAGCTGCTTGTGTGTTGTTGTTTTTTTTTTTTTTTCTACAATAGGCTGTATTTGTGTGAAAATGCCTGCGGCTGCAAACTTTGGCCCAGCAGCCAATCCACAGCCTGTATTTAGAGCCTCTAACTGCAGCCTGTTGTTTCCTCTTCAGATTCCTAGATGCAGTCTAGGATGGTAGGTCTCTTTTTTTCCAGGACTGTAGATCTCCTACACTCTCCCTGGTTGGTGGTTTCATCTGGGCGGTTGGAGTGGGTATTCTCGGCCTGTATAGTCAGACTATAATTTACCCTCTGACTTTTCACTGTTTATACTACAGCCCAGCTCCCTACAGAAACATGTCATACAGTAGGGTTGATGTAAGAGTCAACTCTGTTTTCTGGTATAATCCAGACCAATGTTTTTAAATGGATAGAAAATGTTGTAATAGTGAATACAAGAAATCCAGACATCTGTCGATGCTTTTTGAGAGAGGATGATTCCACAGATCCCCATTAATCCCAATATCTGTCATTACCTGTGAAAGTCCAAAGCTTAAATCCTTGATGAGCATTATTTGGAGTGGGAAGGATCTTTACCAGTGGTGAATTTCTGAGGCAGTCTTAGGAGTATGTGTGTGTTTTGATGGATCAGGAGAACAACTATGACTGTTTTCCACAAGATACTTTGTTAGGGTGGTATGGGGTTATGGTTTTTCAGGGCTATCTTATTTTTCTGTCTTCTCACCACAAGGCTCGCTGTGTTCCCAGTGTGTGTTGGGAATCCACCAGTATCCATTGTTTTGTTGCAGATGTTGTGGTTCTGTTGACCAGATCTTCAAATTATGACCTTTGTTGTGCACAAGATGGGTTTCCTATTCAGTTTGAAGCAGCAGGTTTCAGAGTCACCTCCTCTAAATCTTATGCCACAGCTCTGTAATGCAAAATGTGGACCGCCCTATCTGATTTTGGGGGTCTGATGGAGGATTTCTGGTTAATGAACGATGGTATGATGGAGCAGGAGAGGAAGGAACATATTGGGGCTATGTCCAAAGAATTGAAATCTTAGTCAATTGTTCTTAAAACAGGTGCATTTTTTATTTGATTGCAGTAGGCAAGTGAGACACTTTAGCAATGGAATAAGACAATTTCATTTAAAATAAGAAAATAAAACATCTGCAGTGTCTTATTCTAAGTGCATACTATTTCTTTATGTTATTTTAATGGTAAAAATACTGATCAGTTGGCATATAATCTTACACTGGAAAAAAAAAAATTTTACACTGGAAAAAATGGAAATCTAGATAAGTCATTTTTTTCCCTAAAATAAGTGCATTCTTTCTTGAATTGAGGAGGTAAGTGAGACACTTTGCCAATGGAACAAGACAATTTACATTCAAAAGAAGAAAAACACAATTGAATTGTCTTATATAAAGTGTATATTATCTGATTACCTTATTTTAAGTGTAAGAATCCTAATTCTATTGGCCAATTGTCTTATTTACCTACTCAAATTAAGGAGAAATACACTTAATTTAAGATATTTTGACTTATTTCTATATCATTTTTGCAGTGTACCTACTCAAGTTAAGGGTAAATACACTTATTTGAAGAAATTATACTCATTTTTAGATTAGTTTTTTTCCAGTGCCCAAAGTAGAGCCGCTTATTCTTGCACCTGATCATGATGCCTACAGGGATTTGCCCTTTATAGGTTTTCCATGCACATCCCCCTGAGAGGAGACCTTTGGGAAGCACCAGAACTAACGGAACTATATATCACTTCCTGGAAATACCTTGGGATCCTCCAGAATAAGATGGAGGATATTTGGTTTGACCTGTTATCCCTACGGCCGATCTCTTCTAAGCAAAAGATGACAGCTGGATTACGGATGATTTCCAATTTAATCTGATATACCTAAATTGATGTTCTTATTTTTTAAATATATATATATATATATAAATGTTTTTGCTTCTTTTAATTAAGTCTCTTTCAATTGTTATATATATATATATATATAAATGTTTTTGCTTCTTTTAATTAAGTCTCTTTCAATTGTTTACTAGATTTCATTAAATGCATTTGGGCCATTCCTAAAATCCTAGGTTAGCTTTAGGCAAAAAAGCTGTTGTTTCTATATTTTACTGGTGAGATTAGGAGGAGTGTGGCAATAATAGACCAAAGAGAATGTTAATGGTTTAAAAAGGTCACTTTTACTGACTCTCTACCTTATTTGGCTGCAAATGTTTGTAAAATGGAGTGAAAAGTGGCAGAATCTAAAGCAGAATCAAGAATTGATATCATAGCACCTCTCTGAGTTCCTTTGTGCTTCATTTTTGCTGCTGAAACTCCAAGTTTTCTACTTGGTTATCACTAAAACTATGCAAAACCATGTCCTGTGCTCTGTATTTGCACAAAAGGAACATTTATCCTATTCATCCCAATATCTGAATGTTGTTGCTCAACAGGTCGCTCACACTCGCAGCAAAGATCCAATGACAGCAAGCCTACCTGATGTATCATTGGGCAATGGTGTCCTCTTATCAGTTAAACACCACAACACCATGATTAGAAGTAATTATGTTTAATAATTGAACTTTATTGATCTCACATTGGAGAAATTTACCTTTCCATTTGACCGTTCCCCTTGGGGAGCAGTGGGCTGCCATTGTGCGGCACCTTGGGAGCACTGTGGGGTCAAGGGTCTTTCTCAGAGAGCCAGAGTGCAGGCTGTGGGGATCAAACCGAGAACTTGCAACCTTCTAAGAGCACAAGCACACTGCTCTACCCACTAGGCCAATACTCCCCTAAGTAGTACAGGAGGTTTGGCCCCATAACTGTCTGTAAATCGGCACCATTTGTCAGATACAGATATTGGATGGGATCATCTAAAGTAGGCATTTCAAACCCCTTTTTAATGACATTGTATGCCTTTTCTGGCTGTTGAGGACCAAAGAAATTGCTGTGGTGGGCTGGTCCGCACTGTGGACCTTGAGTTTGACACATATGATCTAAAGTATTGGCCTGAGTGGCTATATTTAACTCTCCCGGTCCAGACTCAAACATGAGAAAGGCAGACGGTGGTAGAAAAGACTCCAGATAATCTAAGCGCCAAAGATCAGTTTGATTCCCAAAACCCAAAGTTGGTCAGAATTCAGGCACCATGAGAAACAGAAAAGCGCAAATTTCCAACACTCCTTTGTCTTCTGTGTCTAAGATCTGTTAGCTTGGAGCTGTGAGTCTTCCAAAAAAGCCCAAATCTAATAACCCTTCACATATTGAGCAGTCCTTTGTGTTTCCATACAGGTTGATATTGTGAAGATAAATCCAATAACAACACGTTAAGTTAATGAAAGCTAAAACATTCCTCCTTTACATTTCTGAAATTCTATTTTATCCATTGAATGTCCAGCATCGTCTGTAGGTTCAGTTCTGGTTCTTTAATAGATGCCAGTGATGTTTTGCATCTTCGGTCCTTCAGCAGACGTCTTGTGTGGGCAGGTTGGAAAATGTGACTTTTTCTGTTACTTTTCCTTTTTCCATGTTAGCAGATGAATCCCGCATCATGAAGTCTGACATGATCACGGTCTTCGCCTTTATCTGCCCCACCTGGCTTCCGTCTCAGCTTGTCCTTGACGTCCAGCTACCTCCTTGCTGTTTATGCTCCTCTCATCTTCCCTCTCTCTCCCTCCATTGCTGTATAAGGCAGTGAAACTGTGGCCGGACCCTTCGGTCTTGGCTAAAGGCTGCAGTCTTGTCTCTTTGTGTAAATATTTGTGCAGGGGGGGATAATAGATGGTCCCCCGCATTCAGAGTTGGAATCCTGATTCACTCTGGACCACATTTGGGCAAACACTGGCTCCCAAGTGACCCTAGATATAACCTCATATAAAAATAATTGCACATGACCTGATATGATTGGAAGATATGATGCGTATTGATTGTGCCTCTTTGTTTCCTAACAGGCACCAAGCAGTAACCTCGCTCTCAAGCATGTAGACACCATGGTGAGTCTCAGCCGCCGCCTTTATTTACTTTACTCCCGCTTTATGCTTTAATCCAGCTGTGTCCTTTACTTGAATTAGATAAAACTGCTTTCCCCACATGTTTTTATCAAAATAAGTAGGGATAATTTAAACTGAGGCCTCATATGCTTAGCAATTTACTGTTATTTTCATTCTCTTATGTTAATAATATTATATTTATTGTTTAATTTAGTTGCATTTATTTAAATTTTATTAAAAAAAAAATGTTTTTTTCTTTTGATCTATTTTTCTCTTTTATAATTTTCTGATTAAGTTGGTCTGATATGTATATATTTTCATTAAAGTTAATTATTCAAAAGGGGTCTAATAATGTTCAGTGATGGTGTCTGGGTTTCTGAAGCGAGGCTTTGCAGGTCTCCTTCCTGCTCTAAGAGCTGAAATCATGATGCAACTTTTTTATTATAGTAAAAATGTCTCCGTTGTCTTGATTAAATCAGACATTTTCAGCCGATTAACTTAATGATGCAAAATCCAAAAGCTCAAGCCATAAAATCAAAATATGTTTGCAGAACTTTCAAAAAGAAAATGACTTAGACTCAACTTTATTTATCCCTTGGGATTACTCTTTCAGGGAAATTCCGGTTCCAGTAGCTTTTATAGAGTACAAAGAGTAAGAGCAAGATGCCATTAAAGATAAAAATACGACAGACAATATAAAAAGAGTGTATATAGTACAAAAAAAAAGCATAAAAAAGAAAAAGTTGTAATGTCCTGGAAAGTTTGTCCCTTTGATATAAAAGTATCAGACTACACAGTAACTGAATTGGGTTATCGCACTTGCACTGCAGAAATGTACTGACCTTTTAAATAAGTTAAAAAAAAATACACAGGCTACACAGTAGTTGGGATGTGTTATTGCACTGTGACAGAGAAGAATATTGCACGTCAGAGACGATAAGTAATGTTTTGCATAAGATGTCCGGAGAGGGTGGGGGCGGGGTTTAACAATGGAGGTTTGAAGAGCATTAGAAAGGTGCCATCGTCTGCAGGTAACTTTTGATCTACCTCATATTTACGTAAAATCGTACAGCCCTCCTCTTTGTGTGCTAAGTTATAGCAGCACAAACATCACTGTGTTTGTTTTGGACCCACTGGTCCACATTTGTCTGTGACAACATCCTCTGGGCTGATTTTTGTCTGAGAACGGAAGGATCGTGGAAGCGGCGTGGGGACGTGCCCACTGTCCCCACAGAGACCAGAACTCAACCAGTTTGTCTCTGTTTGTGCGTGTGGTTCGCTTTTACTGGCATTTCCAAACTTAGCCCAGAGTTGAGTGTTAGTGGAGTCTCTAAATGAGGTTATCTACTTTTAGAGAGCAGAACAGAGAAGCCAGAGTCGTGCGGGACAAAGATGTTGCACAAACCTGCTGAGTTAGAGGAACAGAGGCGCAGTCTTCTCGTCTAATGCGGATCCTGAATCGGCCTTTCTCTGAAGCCAGTTTATGGGTGAGACTTCCTGCATGGTCACATGTCTGTGCAGCTGTTACTGACCCGGAGAAGCTCGCTGGCTTGTGGTCGCTCTGTGATGTCAGGCGGACGCGGGCCTCGCCTCATCGCCTGGGAGCATCAGAAACATTCATCTCATGACTCCAACGCTTCACTTCATCTCATTGCTTCATTTTCTTTGGGATAAAGATATTGTACCCCCCCTTCACATACACCCCCCTATGGATATTTGCCTGCTAACTGTCTGCTAAGTGCTTATTATTATGAACAAACATTCATCAGTCCCCAGATGTTTGTCCTGAGAGGCGGAAACGGTTCACAGTTGCAATTTAGATTTGTACACAGATGAGGGGAAAAAAAGCTACGGGAGGGAGGCAGGCAGGGAGGGAAAAGTTTGAACATCAGGGGGAGAGATAACTGGGTGGTAGGCAGAGCTGGAGGGGGAGGGAGGCCACAGCAGACAGGAGGAGAGAAAGGAGAACACAGGGAGGACGGAGGAGTTCTGTGGAACAGCCTGGTCTGAGCGGCAGTGGCCCGGCTGGCCCAAAATAGATCCCTTGTTTTTCCCTTTTTTGCTTTGGTGAACTCCTTGGCTGTCAGGGAAAAGGGAGAGGTCCCTGAGAGAAAAGTTCACCGCTGCACACGGAGCGGCGACGGGCAGCAGAAGAGATGAACCGAGGAGGGTCTCTGAGAAGGCGGCTCTCCTCTCTGAGGGGGGCATGGCGATGGAGCACCGGCCACCTTTTCAGGAAGGTAGGATGGGGAGACCATGCGTCTTTCTAAAGCTTCTCTTTTTGGCGCTCAGATTTTGGTTCTCACCAGCGGGCTTCAGCCCTTCCTCCATCCTTCGCTCTTTCTCAGATGGTTAATTTGTATGGTTTGCTTGTAAAGTCAACCTCCCCAGATGGTTTTCATCTTGCAGCAGGGCCTGGAGGAACCCCCCCTCAGCTCCAGGTCCCACCTCCTCCACCTCTGCCGCGCTCCTTCCCAGCGCGAGCTTTTAAAATGCACATGGGGTGTCTTTAACGCTGCAGGGCCACGAGATGGATTTAAGCAACACATATTACAGATATCAGGGCTTCCTCTGCTCCGCAACAGCGATGGTCTTCATTAACTCAGCTACTGCTTAAACAAACTTTAGTTTTTAACAATGCCAGCACATTAAAAGCTTTTGTTTTATTTCTTCTATTTGCAAATGTGGTTGATTTTTGATTGAAAGCTTCTGGCTCATAAAAGCCACTCAGATCCCACTCAGGGTCATTAAAACCCAAATGTTGAGTCAAATGGCTTGATCTTCTCAGTTCCTATTTTTACGTTTATCTCTGCACCTTCTATCGTCGTTAATTCATCTCTGTCCTCCTCTGAAGACTCCCTGCACTTCGGAGGTCGATCTCCCATACTGGAGCAATTAGGCGGGGGGGTGGGTGCTTTGTGTCACCCCAGTTCGGCAGCAGCCTCGTGGGAATGTCGAGATGAATGCGAAGCATCTACAAATGAGCTTTTTTTGTGTGCATAAACATTAATGTTGGTGTGCTCGCTGCTGAAATGCTCTCATCAGAACCTTATCAGTTGGATCTGGCAGCTTCCCATGAATCCCAGTAGAGTTCTGCTGGAATTACTGGGCAGAACGAATGCTTGTTTTCTTCAGTCACAGCTTCTTGGGCCCCTTACTGGATTCAAGTATTTACTTTAAGAGCCATTTTCCTCTCAATGCATTTATGAAAAGTCTTTACAATTTGGCCAGAACACATTTTTAAATAAAGATCCAAAACAAAATATCCTAAAACACTAATTTGGACAATTGTTGCTCTCTCATCGATTGAAGAGTTAAAAGTCAGCCAGTCGGGCATTACTGGGTCTCCTGCCACATTACAGAGTAGCATGCACAAATCTTTCACTCTCATGGTTGTTTATTGTTGCCGTGGCGACATATCAGGTTCCTGAAGGATGAAATAATCACAATGTGGGACCCTAAAGAGCTGTTACTGTTTAAAATAAGGCCTCCAGCATACCACCTCCAAATGGGCCTAATGTGACCTTCTTATCCATTAAAAGTGGCCTAGAGGTGTGTGGACCCAGCTGGGTCCGAACTCCAACTACCTTACAGAGGTTAAAAGATTTATAGTCAGTCTTCGTAATAAATCATAGATTTTATTTGACAGAAATATACTCTGATGTCTAGTTTTACTTAAACATATCTTTTAATTTATTTGAGTTATATGCCAATAAAGTACTTATCTCCATTCTTACTTGAGTAAAATGTTTTGCTCCTCCACCCAACCTGAGTAACTTCAATGAAGTGAAAAAAGCTCCAGTTGATGTTTGCATCAAAATAAGTCTTTTTCTTTCATAAACAAGTTCACTTCAACCTTCTATGACTTTTAGAGATGAACCTGACACACAGTGAGGGGTAAATATTGTCACTGGATGTACTGATTTAAATTGTTATGTTAAGCTTGGATAGTAATTCTTCAATTACATTTTAGTGTTTTTTATTTTAATATAGTCTTTTAAATACCAGAATTTGCACATAACTTTATATTTTGGTCTCTCTGTATCACATAAATGTAAATATCAGGTGTTAAGATGAATTATTCAGTACTTAAATACCCTTTTAACAAGTACTTTTTTACTATTACTTGAATAAAAGTATGATGAAGTAGTAAAAGTACTCTTATGGCTTTTCTCCGCACCATTGTTTTAACTTCAGCAGTGCTACTCATAATAATAATGTCCAACATCATTATGCAGCCACCACCATGCTTGACAGTAGGATAATATACCCCAATACTTCTAGTTGTGTCAGAGCAGCTTGGATGGAATAATCTGAGCATTTTATAGATTTCATCCTCATAGATTAAATATGTTAAACATTTTGATGTTAAATAGAGTTTGCTGTAAAAACTGAAAGCAACATGAGATGTAACCTGGTAGTTTTAGTTACTCACTCACTCCATTAGGATCCCTTTCTGTGGCAAGTTGTACCCTTATTTCTTTCTTTTTTTGCTGCTTCTTTATTTCGTAGATTAAAAACTTTGTCAGGAACATTCTTCAGACCTGGGTTTGTTAGCTGCACATCTACACTGCAAAAAATTGAAGTCATTTTCCCTTAAAATAAGTGCATTTTTTCTTGAATTTAGGTGGTAAGTGAAGCACTTTGCCAATAGAACAAGACAATTTACATTTCAAATAAGAAAAAAACAATTATATTGTCTTATTTCAAGTGCATGTTATCTAATTATCTTATTTTAGGAGCAAAACTACTCATTCTATTGGCAAATCATCTTATTTACCGGCTCAAATTAATGGGAAATACACTTAATTTAAGAAACGTTTACTTATTTCTAGATTGTTTTTGCAGTGTAGGGTGACGCCGCAGACCATTTGGGTTTAGATTAGAGGATGACGATACATGAGCCGGCTGAATCTTTGGTTTGTTTAATTTTAGACTTTAGATTTGTCATCATTGTCTTATTTTTATCATGAAAAAACGGAACAAAAAGCAACATTGCCTTAAAAAAATGCACAAAAGTAATTAGCAACATGTAGAGGGGATCGGTTATACATGTGTAATAATAATCCATATTCAGCCTTCGCTTTAAAACCAGCCTCCATTGGTCGACCTCTAGTTCAGAGAACACTGTCATGTTCCAGAAACCGGTTCCAGATTTTTTTAGCTTTGTGACAGGGAGCATGGCTTTTATAAAATAATGCTTAGCTGGTACCAAGGGACCTAATCTCATGTTCTTTGTATTACATCAGTATTTGGGTATTTATATTGTGTGGATCATATCAGCTTTAGGGTTAAAACTGGTGTTTTATTTTAGTTTGATGTGATCTACAGAGATGTGAAGAAGTTTAACCCTTTTTTTGGATTATTTTAACTTCCTTTTTTTTCTTGGGGCAATATAATAACTAAACAGCTAATCTACTTATGTTTGTAATCTTTAGGTGTGTCTGTCTGCCTTTCCGTTTCTGTTTGGTTTTTCTGAATTGGCTTCAGACAAATTTAAGCTCGATATTTTTCATAAAAAAACGGCAGACTTTTCTGTTCTGGTTGGAAGTAACAATGTTTTTTTCAGGGGGAGGTCTGAGGCATGATAGAGAATCAGTTAAGGGAGCTAAAGATTAGGGTTATGGCTAGGAGGCCTTCCAAACCAGAAGACTTGAAGCTCATCAAATATCAACCAAAAAGTTCAAAAAGCTTCTCTGCAAAACGTCTCTGATTCTGTCGAACATCAAGAGGAGAAATTGTTTTCATCTTTTCATTTCTTTTATCCTTTTATCATCCTCCGGTGTGTTATGTTTATTATTTATCTAAAATGTAAATCTGTCATGAATAATTCTGGGTTTCCACACCCTCTGGAGACTTTTTTTAGAACATTTCTATCGCGCTCTCCTTCCATCTCTCATTTCGTAAAGATGTACCCCAAATATCTCAGGATGGAGTAATTATTGTAATCTCCTTGAACAGAGCGGTCAGGGTATGTTAGATAATGAAGTTTAATCAGATCCAGTTATGAGCCTCTTACTGTTTTTTCCATCTGACCGAACCCCCCTCCCCTCCCTCCATCTTTACTTTTAGGAAAAGTCTCTTTTTTTCTCAGATATTTGCCTTCTGCAGCAAATGAGGTCAGTTTAGTGGAAACAGAAAACAAAAGGATTCCCTTTCAGACAGCTGAGCTGTTAGAGGAGCAGAGAAGGTTGAGGCTCCTGGAGGGAGGACAGCCATAGGTTATGGTTAGCGTTAGCGAGCTAGTCAAGTCTAATAGATGATGAACGCCCCCCTCTGAGCTCCTCTTTGAGCTGGTCTGAGGAGGAGTCGGCCTGGGCGGCTTTAATGGAGCCAAACGCAGTCATGCACCTTCAGAGTCAAACCGCTCTGCAGGGGCCCCTCTCTTCTGCTGCATGAACACATCATGTGAACCAGTAATGACACCCCCCCACCCTCTTGTCAGGGTGTACGTTGTATTTTAAGTCTCTCAGTGTGCTAATACTCCAACATGAGGCTGAAACTTCCCAGCAGCATAAGCAGCCGCTCATGTTTTCCTTCATGTTGAGGGTTTTTATTGAAAGCTGTGTCGCAGGTCAGGATGTGTGCTGGAGTTCTGAGTTCTGACGTTCTCTGACTCAACCATGACTGCGTGACGAGACCCTGGGGGGTCAGTCCTGATAGGGGCTACGGATGGTGGGTTTCTACAAGTCATTAAGAACCGGAATAACTTTCCTTTTAACAACACAAGTTGTGGTTTTACTACTGAAATTATTCTTTTGGTGATTTTTTTCAATTGATTTTTATATTTGTGCTCGAAAAAAACCTCCCAAAAAAACAAAAAAAAAAACTAAATAAAGTCATATTTATTTTATTAAGCTCAGGTTCAGGGAGATAATAGAGTTTATCTTTTTTTCTCCTGCTTTGATAATGACTATATATTTGGTAAAAGCTCAGATTTAAAGAAATTTAGATTAGCAATAAAATACTTTATATGTTTTGGAAAATCATTTCAAAAAACACATTTTGATTAAAAGCTTTATCAATATTTTTGTACAGCTCCACAGTTCTCTAAAGTTTTCGTTTATTTGCTATTATGTCCCTTAAATGCAGATGATCTGAGTGAAATCACAAGTAAATGTTAATTTCCCCTGTGATGCTTTCATAAACCTTTTAGTTTAAAAACACGGAAGAAAAAGATTAGATTTGATGGGAAGTCTTACATCGATCTGTAGTAAAATAAGCAGTGAGGCCGACAAGAGCAGATAAAACTAAAAGCGGGTAAAGATGAAAAACTGATGTTTGACCTTTTGTCATCTCCAGGGTTCAACAAAATCCTCAAAGAGCATGGAGTCACGGAGAAGACCGTCCAGGTCGGTTCCCTCTCATCTTCCTCTGTCTTCACTTCTGCCTTTTATTTCCTCAACTATTACCAATAGAAAATGTTTCATCAGTTTTTCTGTTGAATAATTTCAAAGATTAAAGATGGAAGAATCAGGTATTCATATTAAAGTGATCTTGGATCAGAACCAGGTGGAGATGGAAGATTTTTTTAAATAATGGTCGATCATATTTTATTAGTGCACCCATGTGTCTTTCTATAATCTGTCCCAGTCGGTTCTCGTTGTGTTGTCTACAGTAAGTGTAAAATACGAAACTATAAAAGCTGCTGTCCAGATTAAAGACCTCGTTCATTTAGTCTGCTAATGATGCCTTTAAGCTCCACATGCAGAGGATGAACTGAACCACAGCAGATGGCCGACAGTGAGACTTTTGATAATGAGGAAAAACAAACAGAAGTCTTTCTGCAGCGTTGAGATAATAAGAAAAAGAAGAAAATGAGGAGAAGAGGAAAAATAAAAATGGAAAATGAAAAGAATAAATCTGCTGATAAAAAGTAGCGAAACATATTTTCAGTTTGGACCAAAAGGTGTTGTTTAATGTAGAAATAAATCCCTATAAGTCGGTTCTGTTTCCCTTCATAATAACTGGACAAGATTCAGAAACAGAACCAACAGGAGAACCGGTTTGAAGCTTCGGTAAAATCTGCTCCAAATAAAGCTGCTGTGTTCATAGACTCTACTCGGGCACAACAATATGACCAGGCATTTTATTGGTCCCCTGGCCCGCCCAGAACCCCGAGGCTCTGCTCTATAGTTGGGCCTCCATGGTACAGAATGCTTGTCAAACACTCCCACCGATGCGTGATTGGATTCGGATCTTGGTGATATTGGTGCAGATAAACACCTCCCACTGGTTGTTCCTAAACTGTTCTCCTCAGAGACAACTAGCAACTTCCAGCTCAGAGAGGCTTCAACCATCAGAAAATGGTTTCTATGAAAGAGTAAACATGTCTACAGCTTAGCCTGTCTAGGCGGTACCCATCAAACTGATGTCCAAACCGTAACCCGCTCTCCATCTCAGTGCAGACATGTGAGCTGTCTCTGCAGGTCTGGTAAAACACCTACCATTTATTTAACCATTGGGGAGTCCAGGAAGGTTGGGTTTAACGCCACCATTGCTTGTTCCGGTACAGATCTCCTTCCAGCCAGACTTCTCAGGTTTCCTGATTGAAGAATCCTACTTCACTATTTGTGTTGGTCCAATTGGGATCAGCTCCGCTCTCAAATTGAGCGTGCTGAGATCATTTGTCATTCACCAAACGCGATGCAGCAAAAAACAGCAATCACTTAATCTCTGCAGCTGATGAGGAGCCAATTGGCTCCTGGCCTGATAGACCCACACTGCTGGATCTGGAAGGAGACCAGACCACGACTCTGTTCTGTCTGTTGGTGCAAGAAGAGGTCAAAAACATGCATGAAGGGAGAAAACTCAAGAGCACAAAGAGGACACCAAGAAGAGGACAAATAAGGGGAAAGCAAAATATATTAGAAAACCTTCCTGCATCTTTTTGGAGACGCTGCAGGCATGTGAGGTTTATTTCTTCCTTAGTCAGTGTAATGAATCATTTCCAGTAAACAGGTTCTGATTGGCTCCAGATGTACCACAGAGGTTACAGTATCAGTACAGTAAAGCTGGAGGGATCTCCTCTCCGTCGACCAGAGGCTGACGAATGTGGGAAACATGCAGCAGTTTAAAATCAGACACCCTGAGCCCAGCTCATCATCTGACAGCTCATGTTTGGTCCACCGGCCGCCCACCTTTATCACCACAACACAGTTACTTGAGGCAGCTGTAACAGGATGATCTGGTGGGAAAAAGTCTGATCTCCATCCAGAGACGAGACGTGAATAAAAACATTCAGCAGAAACTTGCAGCAAAGATCAGAGCAAGCCTCAGTTTTACAGTGTTTACCCCAAACAGAAGAGCTCAGAACAGTTGCATCATGTAAAAGAGGTCAACTTGGTGTAAATAGGCTTTAGGACATCTGAGATGGAATAGGACCAGAGATGGGCTACAGAACCATCTTACCACCTGTGCAGAGCTTG